AATGGGACGATGTGTGCCATGCGCTGCATTCTGCTAGGATCAGTGACGTGCATGGTGGCGTATTTGCTCCCTTGTGAGGACCCAAGGGTGTTATCCCCCAGATGTCATGTCGCGTAAGTTATAAGGGACCAGAGACGAAATGCAATTCAAATTAAAACGCCTACAGTTAATTTAGCTTGATTACCAGCTCACAAACCATGTCCAGCAGTTTTTTTTCATGGTGTATTAGATGAAGCAGAGGATGAAACATCGAAGGTAGCCGAATTCGTTTCAAAACGAGCTTGGATAAAGTGTCGTCCCACTCAAGGTTGAAATTTCTGTCGGACTTTGTCATAGAAGCGCTCCTGGTGAAGTGAAAAGAAAACTTACAGTATTGCACGAACCGATGATGTACGCCAAAGCTTTATCAGTCGATTCCAGCAAAACCCATCCTCACGGCCAGCCGACCTCGCCATTATGTGAAAAAACCTCAGGGTAAATGTTGTGGCCATTGATTGGTGGAAGTGCCCTATGGTGCATTAAAAGAGAAAGTATACTCTTCGCCTCTGGGATAGTGCATTAACAATTAAGTAAGACCAAATGATAATACTAGACTGTTCACAGCCTCTCTATTACTCAACGCACGCGAAAGAAAAAGCGACCGAAGCGATCCGCGAGCTCGAAGCACGAGGGGGCAAGGGCGGGGAGGCGAACGAAGCGAGCCAAACGAAGTCACCACCCCGTACCCGTCAAGTCTCTTGTTGTGCGCTGGCCGGCGTCCAGCTTTCTCGCGAATAGGAATACGAGAAAATATAGAGGAATGTGAACAGTCTAGATAATGCACAAAAAATAGATATAGTCCCAGTATTCTTCTAACAGCCGGGTCCTGGTGTTTTTTGTGGATTTGTAATCTAACTCTGATATCTTTAGTCAGTCTATTGCCTGATTCCCTGGGCACTTCTGAAATAAATTGACTGACCTCCAGGCAATTAGTAGTTTTAATTCCTAGACCTTCCGTTTCAGTTCACGTGCTTAAGCGTGAAATTTTACGGATTCACCGAAAATTATGACATTCTCTTGGTGCTTTAGCGTGAGAACACCTAGGGATATACTGTTGGCTAATATTGTGCAATGGCTCAGCCAATCAGATTGCAGCATTAATTTGCATTAGTGTTCAGGTAGAATTCTACTAAATACTGATAGTGAAGTTGCCATGACAACATGCCACCGCCGAAATCTAACATTTGGCATTCAAAAACTGTCCAACTGTTGAGTCGTCAGCCCGTGTGTAGCCACTCAATCTCCTAAAAAACAAAATCTGGGGGAGGACGTCACCCACCTCCGATTTTTCTTGGGAAGGTAGCTGGCCGTACACAGGCTATTTTGTTGTCTCCTTCGATGACCAAATAGCCGTCTTTCTCATACTGAAGAGACGTTAAAACAGAAAAACTGTCACTATCAGCTGGAAACAATTCAGCGCTTTTTAATCGTTGTTCATATATTCTTGATCTTTGCTTTGGCATTTAACTGTTCTCATTAGTATAAAATAATCGAGGTGAAATCATTCGCAAGCCTCTTTTATGACAAATTCATCGCGGCAGACAACATATGAAATCTTTACCTTCATTTCATAATCAGCTGCATGGCCACCGATCGCGATATTCGAACTCTTCTTTAGAAACGTTTTCTTGAATAGTATGGAACCTTAAGTACCTTTCTCTTTTGTTCCTCTGTAAGGCCCATCTTTCAAACTCAAGTTAGTTTGCAAACCTGGTTTGCTTGCCTGATCTGAAACTGATAAAATTTAGACTTTTTAAATAACTACTAGAAGCCCTAGATAGAAACCGGCTGTGAAATTAAATATGTGAACAGCATGTGGAAACTATCTCAAATGTTGAACGGGTTTCAAACCTGTTACATATGATTTTCACCCATCACCTACAATAGCATTTCACAGCCCAAGCCTTTATTGTCATCGTGACAACGTGAAGTCACGCGATACTGCCCACCATTCTCGGCCTAAACCTGTCCTTCTTTAATAGCCGGCGGGGCCTTGGCACGAGGAAAAGGTGCCTGTATGGGCTGCTTGATTCCTTACTTAAATCGTTTGAAACGGTTAACCGATTGCACCTTTTCGAAAAACAGCAACTTTCGACCTAACCAGTTAACCAAAAACTAAACTTCAAGAACTTCATTTTTAATAACTGAACCAGTTGCAACGTACGGAGTAGAAATCATTGTTGACTTACAATTCTTCAGTCAGGAAATCCAAAGCTTCAGTTCTCCACCAACCAATTAATCTTATTGGGGCGCTCGGCAAAGAATAAGGCGAGAAGCACCAGGAATCTGATTTCTGTCTTTATTAGTCTTGAGCGTAACAAGCACAGTTATCTGCTAACTAATTACCCAATTGATAGGCATGTGTGGTCTCACCGGCGGGCCGACTAACTTAAGAGTGAGATTAGACATCTTGTTTAGAACAATAACCCACTAGGCCAAACATTTTAAGCAAAGAACTTGATACCATAAACACTTAACATTCGCCGGAAAAATGACGGCAAAACAGGAACTTTAGTGGAGCTCCAAAGCAAGCCCAAACAAGACCGCCAACGGAAGCTATTGTCAGTTTAGGACGAGGAACTATTAACGGACAAAGACAAACAAAGTGAGGACAAAAACTACATGTGCGGCCCTGCGGCTGCTTGAAACACAGGACTTCCACCATGACCAAAAACAACCGATAAAATACTCAGATAAAAACCTAAACAATTCTGAAAACTCATATCGAAGTTCATAACAACGCAGTCAAAACCTGGCAGATAGTTGTTTGAATCTCCTAAGTTTATTAAAAAACAAAACCTCTTCTGTTTTCCGTATAAAACGCAAGTCACTCCTTGCATATTTAGTCCTCTCTACCGCGTTTTCAGATAAAAGTGGACACCAGACAATTTTGGCGAAAATGTTTAAAAGTCAGCAAACGCCTCTTTTAATTAAGGAGCAACACCAGATATTAAAGTACAGGTTGGAGATATTATCAAAATTCAGGAGTATTCAAATACAGGTTTTACTATGACGGCTATGGCACACGACTCTAGTATTTCCAACCTATTTTTAACGCCCTATGGCATGTTTTGTGTCACATTTCAACTGTTCACCGTCAGAAAACAGGCTCTTACTTGGTGTAGAAGACACGGCAGCTGATTTAAAACAACAGAGAACAGAAGTACAAGGAAGACAATAGAACCAGTAAGTTTGCGAGTCGGTGTTCTATTGTGACGTGTCCTGTGTCTTCTACACCAAGAAGGAGCCAGAAAACAGAACAGAAACCTTTAGTTCTGGGTAAACAAGTTCGTAAATTATAGGCTTGTGCAGAAATTGAAAATAATCTTTTCTTCAGTAACTGGGGATGCCGTGAATTGACTTGCTTTGTTCCGAATAGAAGAGATCCATACTTTCAGTTTCAAATGGAACCGGAAGCGACACTGGAATGGCTTCCATCCGGGGAAATTTGCTTGCTTTGCCTCGCACCACTGAAGAACAATATCGGTTCCAGTCCACTGGACCCCAAAGTTCATTCTCTTTTCCCACAATACCAATGAGAGGCCACGCATCTGTCGCGCTAAAGGAGAACACAAAATATCGTCTCGGTCCATTTGATTGGTTGACCGCTGAACCGTGTACAGTGAATGGATGATGCAGGGAAATGCCACCTGCGGGAACTTCCAAATGGACAGCGCCACTGGAGTCAAAGTTCGCGTCGTTGATTTCTGAAGCAAACTTGTCTTCGTCGTGGTGATTATAAAGCGGACCTTTATGACTTCCTGGTATGACTTGTAGACAGCCTTTAGAAACAGAAAGTATATGAAATTAAATTATAATTCAGTTTACAATCTTCCATTACCGAAGTTTGCTGTTGTGTACTATGAAACGTGATGGCAGACTGAACAGAGTCATGTACAGACAGATTTGTATAGAATGCTGTATTTGTTAGATACCACAATGATTAAAGAAGACTGCCATACAGTAACCACATTCTTAGCTAGCGCAAACCCAATGAACCAGTAGAAAGACTCCTGAAACTGGAAGCACGATTACAACACTTCAAACATTTATCTTTTATAGCCCTTAGCATATCTTGTAAGGAGGTGCCCAAAAGCTACTACCTTAGCATGACAAAATGGGTGTTTGCGTAGCCTCTTCCAGGCGTTCAGTTAGTTGGGGCTCAGCGCGAAAAA